CTCGTTCCTGTCAACTTTGCCAGATGTGAGTGGGGATTACTGTCTCCCATTTCGTAGTTGGAGAACAACTTTCCCAAGGCGGTCAACAACTCTGGGTTCGGTTTATCAAATATTCCCAGCTGGTCTCTGCCATCCTCTCCTTTCTCTCTCATGAAATCATACTGAACAACACCTGCAACGCCGGGAGTCTCAGCTACCCCAACGACAACATCCCCCAGATGAATGTCTTGACTGGCATCCAGATGTGGAGGATTGTGCGGTATCCCCCCACCTATGCCCACAAACAAATGTAGTCTCATATTTGGAAAGCTTGTGGGCAGTAGGTCTGCCATTCTTGAGGCAGAGGTCGTGCCAGGGTGGCTGATGGGCAAGCATGCGATGACAATATTGTGACTACCGATGGAGCCATAGGTGTATGTGTTATCATCACCGACGGGCTTCGGAAGCTCTTGATGCTGTTCGTCTAACATCTTGATGGCTGCTACTTGCTCGGATTGAAATAATGCACAGAGCCACCCAACCGTGTAGTCTTCGGGCCTGAGTCGTCTTTGCGCACTCATGATTGTGTTTGACTCGCGGAGGTTCAGCAGGAGATCTGGTTTCGTCAATGGATGGAAGATGAAGAATGGCCCTGAGCAGTTCCCCAGGCTCAGCTCTCGACTGCGGCTGAAGGATCAGCGAGGTGGTGGACTGCATCTGAGAATGATTGGACGCCTCGTGGTGAAGATCCCAAACTAATGCACGGCTAGCTCTACCTTACGAGTGTGCCTTCATGCCTTCATAGCTGTACAGATAACAGTAACATGACGAAATGGTTCACAGCTAAAACCAATATCAGCTGATTGGAAAGCTTGCTTTCTCATTACTCAAGACTGAAATCACAAAATGTTCGACAACCATAAATTTAAAGTTGACCAATCAGGTCTTCAGATTTCGTGATTTTGAAGCTAAAACTCACTTTATTTCTTCATTTCTAAGCTAAAAGCGGGTGCACACGGGTACATCCAAAAGAGGAAGCACCATAAGGCTGAACCTCGAACATCAACTTTATTAATTTATTCTATTTAATTCCTTTAACGTCATGTAATAAATAATAATAAAGTAAATTTATAGAGTTATAGAGTTAATTATACGCTTTTAAATAAAGTATTCGTAAAGATATACTAAAAACTAAGATTTTTATTTAAATTATCGAGCTTGCGAGAAGAGCCCCTCCGGCAGGAGCCCTCGGAGAGCCCTCGGAGAGCCCCCGGAGGGTTAGGGGGGTTTCAGGGGGTCTCCCCTGAGTATATCAAATAAAATATCATACTGGTGTACCTATCTCTCTCGATTCTTAGGGTTAGACCTCTTAAAAACCCTTAAACTCTTTAAAGCTCTTTAAGGGCTCTCCGAGAGCTTATATCGGAGGGGCTGTCAAAGCAAGCTCGAAATTAATCAAATATCTCTAAAATAATCAAATTTCGAGCTTGCTTTAATAGCCCCTCCGATATAAGCTCTCGGAGAGCCCTTAAAGAGCCCCCGAAGGGTCCGAGGGGTTTTAGGGGGTCTCTCTGAGAATCAAATATAGTTAAAAACCAGTACTCGGCAAGCTTTTCACCACTGGGAAGCCCGCGCCCTAGCACATATTATGATTTGAGCGAGAGTTTTTTTGACACCTTCATTTCGCTCGGGACATCATTTTACCACTTCGACGATGTATCAACGGTACCAGTATCTGACTTAGTAAGCTGTAAGCCTACATCAAAAGGGGCTTATCACAATATATCCCACCACACCCCACCCTATCCAACCTAACTCCGCGCCCGCATAAGCAATGAGGGTTCTACCTAGCGAGAAAATCGCCCTCACTCCAAAGTACTAACCCCACGCTCAAGATTGTGTTGGCGTTATATACTGGTGCTTAAATCTTCGCTCGTCCGAGCACTAAGCTGTAAGCCTACATCAAAAGGGGCTTATCACAATGTATCCCACCACACCCCACCCTATCCAACCTAACTCCGCGCCCGCATAAGCAATGAGGGTCCTAGCGAGAAAGTCGCCCTCACTCCAAAGTACTAACCCCACGCTCAAGATTGTGTTGGCGTTACATACTGGTGCTCAAATCTTCGCTCGTCCGAGCACTAAGCTGTAAGCCTACATCAAAAGGGGCTTATCACAATATATCCCACCACACCCCACCCTATCCAACCTAACTCCGCGCCCGCATAAGCAATGAGGGTCCTAGCGAGAAAGTCGCCTTCACTCCAAAGTACTAACCCCACGCTCAAGATTGTGTTGGCGTTACATACTGGTGCTCAAATCTCCGCTCGTCCGAGCACTCGTAGATTCGAGGTCGCCACACAACATTGCGAGGATCGAACAATGTACCGGTACCTACAAAGGTTTTTCGTGTCCCCCGTCTCCATAAATCAGTGCTGCGATAGCGCTAAGCCCGACCGCGAGGTGCATGTTTCTGGACGCATCTGAACAAGCAACCAATTAGCTCGTGCCAAGTGGTTTCCAGGTCTTTGCACCTTGCATACTTCTACTACATGCTAGGTGGGCTGGCAACGAGATCTACCTGTACGTGGTGCCGGCTACAAACCCTCTGACAAAGATTCTTATGCCTTCGGGAGTCTACTCTGTACCTGTTTAGCAGCTACTACGCGTTAATTAAATCTTAACTTATTAGTTATAGTAAACGTAAATTTACAATTCGATATATTAGAGGAGCTAAGAGATCTTAAAAGAGCGTATATTTATATATAGATATACGATCGGATTTTTTAATTATAATAACGATTAACTATATATAAGCGAAAATCGAATAATAAAACGCGTCAGATCGAGGGTTAACGCGTCTTCCTCGAAGTGTTACGAGCGTACCCTTGACACACCACTCAGCCCTATGGCTAGCGGGCCTTGGCGGAGGCATCTCCTACTATATCATGCCTCCTTCCCACCTACATAGTTCGGTAGCCTTATTATCCTAGTTCTACCTCACCCATACTGGTATCGCACCTATGCTGGTCCTGACATTATAATAAGGCTCCTTCGTACCCCCCGGCGAAGAGAAATGTAATTCGGGCACACTCCATTCGAATTAGCGGACGAATTCAAAGAAATGCGCTGGCAGGGGCTTTGGCAAGAAACCAAGTTGAGCCATCGTATCCCTGGGTAAGCCCACCAGACGGGTAACTCGATTCCAAAGAGCCTCACGGGACAGCGGAACGGCCTCGCCAAAACAGTGGGCGAGGGATAAATAAGGCACAGGGACCATTCGTACGACTAGCGAATTGATAGTAGAAAGAAATCGTCACAAACACCCCCCCACACCATAGTGAGCCTGCTACAATGGCGACGGGAACAGCCCCGAAACGACTACGATTCGACCTCTTCACTGAGCATGTCGGCAATACACATAGTGAGCCTGCTACCAAATGGCATTCACCACATTCAATTCTTTCCCCACCAAAGGATGGACTTGATGGCAAGAGCATGGGAGACACAGGGCAAATCTACAGTGAAGCTCCCAGGCCAGGCTGCCAACAGGTGTTGGAGTTGAATTCATAACACATGCATGCGTTGGATTTTCTTCAATTCTATTGATGGACTTGATGGCAAGAGCATGGGAGACACAGGGCAAATCTACAGTGAAGCTCCCAGGCCAGGCTGCCAGTAGGTGTTGAAGGCAAAAAAAGTGGAGGACTATGGCAAGCAGACTGGGCAAGGAGAAGAATTCGGAGAATCTTGCTGGCACGCAGGCAAGATATGGACTATATCTCCAGGATCTCTGAAGGACAATGCAGGCATGGCACAGTCAAGACCAGCATGCGGCCCGGCAATACCACTACACCTCGGCAAATCTTCTCCGGTCGAGGCCTACACGGACTATGGATGTTTGGAGACACAGGGCAAGCGATGGGCGTGCATCTCCGGTCTACCAGCCATGGGGGCCATGGCTATTGAGAGGGGGGTAGTGTTACGAGCGTACCCTTGACACACCACTCAGCCCTATGGCTAGCGGGCCTTGGCGGAGGCATCTCCTACTATATCATGCCTCCTTCCCACCTACATAGTTCGGTAGCCTTATTATCCTATCTACCTCACCCATACTGGTATCGCACCTATGCTGGTCCTGACACGAAGAATTCGATATTATTAATATAATAGCGAGTCTTATCTCTCTTAATTAAATAATATCTCTCTCTCTTATTAATCGATAACTTTTTTTTGAATATTATAAATATTTAACTTTAGCTATAGACGAGTTAGCTCGTTTATAAAAATTATATAAAGATTTTTTATAGAAAAGAGATTAGATAAGAGAGCTAAATCTAATATATTTAAAAAATATCCTCTTAATAGCGAAGTTAGTAAGTAATAAGTAATAGTTATATATCTTCTAGTTAGCTATCGATATACGAATAAGTCTAATTAGATCTTATATTTTTACGAGAATCGAAGCGAGCTTTTAACTTCGATTTAATAAATATTATTATTCTCTCTCTTATATAACGATATATAATAAAGTACTAGGTATCTAAGGATATATAGAATAGAGAGATTAAAGCTTAACTCGAAGAAATAAGAAAAAAGCTTTGGGGTACATTGTAGAGTATAATAATATCTAATTATAATAAAGGCTTTAGAATTCCTAATATAATATATATAGCCGTAATTTTACGGGATCACAATTATCTATCGTACCTTAAATAGGATATAGATATCGGATATGATTGTAAGGCCGAGTGGGTAAAAACGGTTGTACTCTAGGCTACGCCTTTCAGTGAGAAGAGATATAAATAGAGGTACAGCCCTCCGATATAGGAATTATACACACACACACACACACACATGCTAGGTTGTAACAACATGTTCATCGAATCATCCTGAGCAGGTAAAACGCCATTTGAAAGCCGGCTACTCAGTGCTTTCATTCATCAACGCTACCTTCAAGAACCTCATATTAGCTAGCTAGTGGTTCGATGGCTTTGCCAACAGCTCATGAACCCGAATTGTTAGAGAAGAACACTGATAGCACAGCCGCATACGCCGCAGAAGCCACCATCGTTTCTTCGTTCGAGGCCCTGGTTAGAAGCGACACAAGCAGAGAAAACAAAACAATACAAACGGATATAGTGACCAGATGTGCTATAACGGTTGACTGATGCGAAAGAATTGCCAGCGGTGTCACAAGAAAAGCACCCGCTATCAGCGCAATCAAAAAGCGGGTAATAATATCTGCGAGTCGGCTCGTATTCTGATAAGATCGTTTGAGGTTGGATTCCAGCTCGGTGGGCGAAAAGTAAGAGCTGCGCTTTTGGTAGGCGTGTTGTCCTCGAAAGCGAATAAAGAACCAGAAAGCCCGCAAGCATTTTCGCAAACTGCGCCGAAGAAGATCACCTGAGCGGCTTCGACTGACCGTATCAACGCGTACGAGCCGCGTTTTGTACATCTCGTAGGGGTTTTGGTTGTCACTTCGAAGGCTAGCTTGCCAGCTGTTGTCCGCCAAAGCAAAGGTCTCCATCATCATGATCTGATTGAATGAGACTAATCCTTCATCTGAGATGGAACACTGAGTTAGTCTAAGTAATCCTGGTCTCGTGATTGTTATAGAAACATACCGTACTCCTTCAGAAGCTGGCGTAGCTTCGACACAAGCTGAGGATTGAGGACTGCCTCCGGGCTTGGTGCATGTCTATCTCTCTTGCTGTGCTTCAACCCCAACTTATCTGCGCTTGTCGTTGGAAGACCCAGACTCAGTCCAGCTTGATAGACCTGGTGATCAATTTTGTCGATCTCAGTCTCTAAGAGTCGTAGATTGAGTAGATGAGTCGTTCTGAACCTTCGGAAGCCATAAAGAGTAAGGGCATTGTCATCCGTAATATTGCTCCACAAACTACGAAAAAGACGAGCTGTCTCCGAACTCTCTATCCTTATATTGGAATTGTCCTGAACATTGGGGCCTGTGGAATTGGAGTATGAGTCATCTCCATCAGCGGCTTCCGCCATCATCGCTTGTAGGAGTTCTCAGTAACGGTCCTTAGGTTAGGAACCTTTCTGAATCGAACCGGGCATCGGCTCTTTATGTATCATACATACTCCATAAAAGATACTGCCGGGCGTGAATCACAGCCTCACCGGAACGCCCATGTGATTGTCGACCTCAAATGCCTCGGTGCGTAGCCGTGCAGCTGCATGCACAGCCGGTCTTTCCAGAAAATGCATTGGATTCAACGCAAAGCGTCTGGTTAACCGGCAAGGAAGCCTTGAGTCCATTACTCAGGATTATCCTCGGAGCTGATCTATTCGGATATGATTAATTGTATTTGCCCGCAGAGCGAGGCATCCCGTCCTTGGAGCCAGTAGAAGCTGTCGCACCGCCGACTTTTGTCTTCTTGGCGCTGACAGTGGTGCACTTCACTCAGCCCTACGAGGATCACGTCGCCTTCGACTGCCTGAGCTCTCCAAGGATTCAAGCTTCCTCCGACCGACCACCTCATAATCCTACACCCGGTGTTCCAAACTCACTGGAAGTTCATAATACGACCACTGATGCTTGAGGTCCTTCAGGATGTTCAGAAACAACTATGACAACGATTCGGTGACCTTGTATGCAGCTCCATGTCCTACCATTGATGAGCTCTAGCTTACCGTCACTGCAGCTCGCCGCAGGGCCGTATTTTCCAGGTCGAGTATGCATCAGAAGCTGTCAAGCAAGGCTCAGTGGTGGTTGGAATCGCCAGCAAGACACATACCGTGCTAGTAGCACTAAAGGTACACCCTTCCTCTTCCTCGGGTACCTCAAATCCTCTACACCAAATAGCTAACCCGCCCTCCTACTCCAGCGAAATGCAGAAGAACTCTCCTCCTACCAGAAAAAAGTAATAGGCATAGACTCGCACGTCGGTATCGCCCTCGCCGGCCTCGCCTCCGACGCCCGCGTCCTCTCCAACTTCATGAAACAGCAAGCGCTCGCATCTAAAATGACCTACGGCCGTCCCATACCCCTCGAACGCATAGTCACCCAGATCGGCGACCGCGCTCAAACATCTACACAAGTCTACGGCAAGCGGCCTTATGGCGTTGGTTTGCTGGTTGCTGGGGTGGACGAGACGGGACCGCATCTGTTCGAGTTCCAGCCCTCAGGGATGACGCAGGAGATGGTGGCTTGTGCGATTGGGGCGAGAAGTCAAATGGCCAGGACGTATCTGGAGAGGCATCTAGAGGAATTTGCGGACTCCAGCAGGGATGAGCTGATCAAACATGGGCTGAGGGCGCTGAAGGAGAGCTTGAGTCAGGATAAGGAACTGACGATTGATAACGCCAGTGTGGGGGTTACGGGCATGGCGAGTGATGGGAAGAGGAAGACGGAGAGCTTCAAGTTGTATGATGGGGCTGAGGTGGGACCGTTGTTGGAGGCTGCTTTGGAGGGCGCAGAGCCGGCTGCTGAGACGAGGGTGGCCGAGGGGGGTGAAGGCGCAGATGCTGGTGATAGCATGGAGGTGGACACATAGAGAGGACTTCCTGCCGCTGGAAGCTGTAATTGTTCAAGCATATCTCTTCAAGCTTGGTGATTTTCATGCGTCTGTGGGTATTTTCCAACGCCTCGCTATGCATGCTGGCATGACTTCGTGATGCGTGCCCACTTTGAGAATAGCCCGGCCCAGCACCTCAACCCAACTCACTTCTGAGCCCAATCCAATTTGAATCTACCTTCCGCTACCTTATATTCCTTCAACTCCCTAACCACCTCCTCCGCATCCAGCGCCTCAACCAAAATCCCCGCATTACCCGGCGCGATGAACCCGGCGCTCACCGCCGTCCTCACCCATTGTATCAACCCATCATAATACCCCTCTACATTGTACACCACAATTCCCATCCCATGTATCCCAAGCTGATTCCATGTAATCACCTCCATCAACTCCTCCAATGTCCCGTAGCCCCCTGATAACGCAACAAACCCACTCCCAGACCCTCCCTCCATGACTTTCTTCGCCATCAACTGCTTGCGTGTATGCATGTCCGCCACAACTGTCATGCGGCCGTACACGTTTTCGTCGATCGAGCAGCCGTTATGTGCGGATGCCGTACCCGGGCGGCCTTCTTGTTCAAATTGCACGAGAGCCGTGGGGATTATGCCGGAAACGGAGTCGGGGCCTGAGAGGGAGACGAGCGTGCGGGCGATTTCGCCCATCATGCCGACGGTACCGCCGCCGTAGACGAGGTGGATGTTGTGCTTGTGGAAGGTTTCGCCGAGGGATTTGGCGGAGGCGAGATGAGTGGGAGAGGTGCCGGAGGAGGAGCCGCAGCTGTTATTGTTTTAGTATGAGCCAGAGGCCGGATATGAGGGAGGAGGCTTACAAGACGCAAATAACACGACGTTCGGTAGTGCTGGAGATGCTGCTGCTGGCGGGGCGTGAGACGGTGGAGCTTTGAAGAGCTGGTCTCGAGGGTTCCGATGCCATTATTGATTTTCAGAGAGGGGAACGTTGGAGCTTTTGGGCTTTTGAGCAGATGCCTGGGTATTTATCCCAGGAATGTCGGAACTGCAAGATAATGAAGGCCAGGCTCAGGGCCTTTTGGTGGTCAATTCGTTGAAGGCAGCGTTAACGATAATGGAGGGACATTTTCGTCTTTCCCCAAGTGCAAATCGCAAGGTTACAAAGTGAATGGACGCCTGGGTGCTCCAATTGGCTTCAATGTGGGTTGATGCAGGCCCGACGGCCGAAAACCGGGGATACTCTGTCCTCGACATATGAGCTGGTCCTACATCCATCTCCGATGACGATCAGGGTCCAATATGGTGACAACGAAATCTGGCTGTCCTGTTGCCCATCTCTTCAATAGCAATCGAAGGACCGTTTAAGATGCCTCCTCAAGCAGCGCAGCCTGCAGATGCAGGCGAAAGACAAGCAGGTCTAAGTGTGAGAATTGGTCGTTGAGACTTTTCGTGCCTCTCTCGCCATCGATGCTGACCAAGTACTAGGCCACCATGAAATCGGCACTTCAAGGTATAGCCATATTCATGCTCGTACAATTCGCCATATCCCAATTCTTCGGAAATAAAGGTGGAAACTCGAACACGTCCGCGCCGCTCGCAGGAGCCCCAGTCCCTGCCTTCGATGAAAGAGCGGAGAGCCCAGTAGCGACGTACAACCCCATACCCCAAGTGATCGCTCCGATATGGCCGTTAAACAGCACCCTGGACCTGTCAATATACGTGTCCTCATCGGTCGCCATGCCTTCGTTGGGCTCGGTGAAGACTGAGGGTTTGGTATTGGAAGAGAAAGGATTCACAATTGGGAATTGGAAGGATAGTCGGGACATCGACACAATCTTCAAGGTCCCGAAGGAGGTGCAGAACAACGGTACCCTATGGGCGCATTTCTATATTGCGCTGCATGGGCACACATTCGACCCCACAGCTAGAGGCTACGACGTGGCTAAGGCTTACCACTTCGTTCGGCCTCTAAACCAATTCTTGCCGAAGAAGAAAGTGACGAAGACGAAGAGTCTCCTAGGCAGTTCGAACGAGAATGGAACCGGGGAAGAGGACATATCAAAGACTCCGGGCGTTGGATCCTACTATCATCCCAACTTCACCATGTCTTTCATCCCGGACTCTGGCTCCCAACCCTTCACGAGTATGCACCCAGCCGTCCGCCAATTTGTGCACCTTGAGACTACCGGAGCGCGCGATGTCTCGGGGCAGAATGGCTGGTACTACCCCATACTCTTTGTGAATACCTTCTGGCAGCTCAAGGACCACATGACGGAGCTGAACAGCACAGTCAAAGAGCTTCCTCTTCATATCACATTGAACAACATGGCCAATTGGAAGTTCAGTATCTACGCCAGTATTGACGAGGGCATGAAGCAGACGCAAAGACAGGCTGCCAGCGGTGGTCCAATGCCGGCGGGCGGAGATGGCAGCGAATTCGAGATGTTCAAGCGCGTACTTGTCGACACGAACACCTACCTGCTAGTGACCACGGGGGTAGTCAGCGTTCTTCATATGATCTTCGAAGCACTGGCGTTCAAAAGCGATGTCTCTCACTGGCGCAATAAGAAGGACAACGTGGGCATCTCCGTCAGGACGATTCTTGCAAACGTCTTCATGCAGACTGTCATCTTTTTATATCTCATGGACAACAGCGAAGGCACCTCCTGGATGATTCTTCTGGGGCAAGGAATGGGCATCCTGCTTGAGGCGTGGAAGATCACCAAAACTGTCGATGTCCGAGTGCGCGAGTCGGAGCCGGGATCGTTGTTGCCTTATAAAGTTACCTTTGAGGACAAGCATAAGCTTTCGCAAACAGAGGAGAAGACGAAAGAGTATGACGAGATCGCTTTCCGCTATCTCTACATGGTTGCAGTACCGCTGCTTGGAGCGTACGCAGTCTACAGTCTCATCTACGATACACACAAGAGCTGGTACAGCTTTGTCATTACTACACTTGTTGGCAGCGTCTACGCCTATGGCTTTCTGATGATGGTCCCGAGTCTGTACATCAACTATAGGCTCAAGGTAGGCTTACCCGTCCCCATCCTTACTCCATACTTACCATGCCACAGAGCGTCGCCCACATGCCTGCGAGGGCAATGACATACAAAGTCCTCAACACATTCATCGACGATCTATTCGCCTTCACGATCAAAATGCCTACGCTCCATCGACTGGCCACTCTGCGCGACGATGTCATCTTCTTCGTCTACCTGTACCAAAGCTACGCTTACAAAGTTGACAGCACGAGAGTCAACGAGTTCGGACAAGGAGGAGATGATGAGGAGGTGGAGGAGAAGATTGCTCACAAGCCATTAGCGGCGCCTCCGGACGCGGATGCGACGGTGGATACGAAGGTGGATATGAAGGTGGCAAGTAAGGCCACTGGGTCACAGAAGGCAAGTGCGAAGAAGCGGAGATGATGCAAATAGTCACTATTGCTCTGTACGTATGTAGAAAGACAAAGCTCGAAGGATGCAGGTAGATATCGCTGTTGGGAGAACACATTTGACTGGTAATCCTAGTAATGCCAGCGAGGTTGACGATGATTCGCACACGTCCACTATGGATTTCTAATTCAAGGCATGGGCCCAACGGGTATTCGAGACGATGAATCCCGAAAATGTATGGAGTATGTAACGATGGAGATTGTACTTTATAACTTTATGTAACACTTCGGATAGATGATGAAACAACGAATGAAAAGCTCCCGGTTCCAAAGGTACGACGGTTCCAAACCCTAGTCTCTACTCGTGGATTCCAGAAGTGAGTTACTTGATAGAGCGAGGACACCAATAGATATTTCCACTTAGCGGCATGTCACTTGATCTATTGGTGTCCTCGCTCTATCAAGTAACTCACTTCTGGAATCCACGAGTACTAATGTACCTTAGGTGATACAAATCCTAGCAAGAATTGCCGAAGGACTGCGGCAAAACGATTAGTGATCACTCTAGTCCTAACATAGCCAGAAGCGCGAGACTTGGCATTGTCGGAATCCTAGCAAGATTTGCCGAAGGGCTGCGGCAAAAAACAACTACTCTAGTCCTAACATAGCTAGAAGCGCGAGACTTGGCATTGTCGGAATCCTAGCAAGATTTGCCGAAGGGCTGCGGCAAAAAACAACTACTCTAGTCCTAACATAGCTAGAAGCGCGAGACTTGGCATTGTCGGAAGATCTCCAGGGGCCGGGCACCGAGGGCAGCAGCTTATTCGACCGAACTCTGTCACTCTTTTCGCATCGATGTTGTTAGAGATATTTAGTTCGTATTAGGTTCGATTCCTGATAGCGGGCTGATACAATGGTGTTGCGGTGCTTCTCATTTCCTATCGAATCATGCTGAGGGATGCCGCCATGATAACAGCTCCTTTCCCTTATACACACACACCCCCTCCATCAGCTCCATCAGCGCCGTCAGCTGTGGCTTCGGCGTGGTGTCCAGAGCACTCGAATCCCTGCCTCGGTGGCCGATGCGAAGGACTATCATATACTCGTGCGACACTCTCGGCCGACTAGGGTCCGAGAATTGATTGGGCGGTTTGACCCATCTCCGCCGTACGCAATGTGAAAGAAGGGATGCTAGACTCCGTATTCTTTCCTGACACGAGAGTAATGTCATGTTAGTTCGAGACCGTTAGCTTTGGGGCTGCGGCAAACCTCAGATTTGGAGATGTGAGTGTTTGAAGGGCTGAACAGTGCCGAGGAGAGGGTGGGGAGGTCTTCGTTGTCTCTTAACATGTCTTTCTCTTGCTCTTGCTCTTTCTCTTTCTCTTTCTCTAAATATATCTTTCATATACATAATTCGTCTCTCTTCCTTCCGGTCCTCAGAGCACGATGCGTGTTCCGAAGGATGTTGATGGTGCCCAAGATATGTACGAGTATATCCCCAAGGACTTATATGCTTCCTTGCGCAACCCTGCACTCGCTCTTCCACGCAGGGTCTTGAGCTTTTTGACTATTGCGGTCCCCTTCAGCATCTTCTGGTTACTGCTGTCCTATGACCGCTTGCCATCTTTTCTTTCAAAGGGAAATGCAAGGACCACCACCACCACCCACTGGCACGGTTGGGCCAGTGTAGAGAATATGATCGTTTTGTATGCCACCAATTGATGACCCGGGAAAAGATGAACGCAAACTGACCATCATCATCGCCAGCGGAGACTCCTACACCAGTACCGACTTCAAACCCCAAAAAGAACAACCCTCCCCCACCAACCCCTTCGGCAACCCCGCCCTACCAAAGTCCTCATCCATCGACCAGAAATGGATCCATTATCTCACAATGACCTACAACAGCAGCGCCATCCGGACCTACAACATGGCCAACTACGGCGCCACGATGGACGGCTTCGTCCGTTTCTACCATGAGCACTTCATGCCGCATTACGGCATCGCCAACCACACGGGCGCTGCGGGGTGGAACGCGACGAATAGTCTGTTCGCTACCTTTTTCGGCATCAACGATGTCAGAAGGTGCACGGATCAGCCCCTCTCGAAGGACGATTGCGGAGAAATCTATGCGAGTCTCTTCGCCATCTATGGCTTCCTGCTCGAGCAGGTGAACAGCCCTCATCCACGACCTCCAATCTCAGAATGGGAATCAAAGCTGACCCTTCCGCAACAGCTCTACACCGCCGGCGCCCGCAACTTCCTCCTCCTCAACATCCCCCCGCTCGACCGCATGCCCTTCTCCCGCAAATGGGGCCACCCCGTGCCCCCGCGCGCCGTCGCCGCCTGGAACGCCGGCCTCGCCTCCCTCGCGTCCGACCTCTCCCTCCGCCACGCCGACGCCACCGTCTTCCTCTTCGACACCCACGCCCTCTTCGACGAGGTCATCGACGACCCGAAATCCTATCCCCAAACGAGTCTGTATAAAAACACGACGGATAATTGCGAGGAGTATAAGTCGGCGGGTGAGAAGAATGATTTCGATGACGTCTGTGGGATTCAGTTGGAGAAGTATCTCTGGCATGATGCGCTGCATCCGACCACGGCGGTCCACGAGGCGATGGCGGCGCAGATTGCGCAGATGTTGGAGGCGGGGCTGATGGGGAGGGGTGGGATGGGTGGTTGAGAGAGAAATTATCATTTCAAGGTGACGGAACGCCAAGTGGCTCGTGATCTGAAAAGATCATTGCCTGGTTCCATCGGGGCTCGATACGATACCACCGCTCTCTGCTTTTTATGCGCCCTCATAGCTTCCTCGCAAGGTCCCCACGGCAAACCCGGGAACAACCATAGCTCACGACTCCCGCACCCTGCCCGACACCCTACTCGAACACGCTTCGAACACGCACCTCATTCCCTGCCCGCCCATACAACAAGATGTCATCATCATTGCTGTGGCCAATCTACAACCCACCTACCTACCTACCTACCTACTCCCCAGCGTCCCTCAAACCGCAACCCGCGAGAGAAGAAAATCCCACGCTCGGATATTGAGTCCGGAAACCGACAGTGCTCCGCAAAAGTGAGGGATCCTCGCCTCATCACGCGCCTATCCCTCACGGGTTCCTCACGCGAGAGATTGACGGAGTGCACGCGTTCGGGTATGACTGCGGACTGATGCGCCGACTGAGAGTAGGCAGGGTCGGGTGATAGAGGCGCTTGCATGCTTTTGCTGCGAGGGATGCGGTGGTGTTGGATAGATGTGTTGGAGATGGTGGTGGTGGTGGATTTGAGAGAGGAGTGGGGGGGTTGTATGAGATGTAGATTTTATGGCAATGAGGCAGGGTGATGGTTATGCTTTGGCTTCTTATTCTCGTATGATGTTGTGGGATGGTTTTATAGGAAATTAAAGTACGCTTCTGGGGGACGAGGGTAGCGCTGTCTAATGTGAACTGGTGTGCCCTGAGGAGCTGAGCTGCGGATGAGGGTAAAAGTTCTTGGGGATTAAGCGGATCGTGTAGGCATTAGATATGTTTACAGGCAGTATATTTTTCACACTTGGTCACGGGCATGGATTTCTCCTGTGGCAATGTTCTAAACACGCAGGATTCCGTCGTTGCTCTATTCCTAGCTTTGTGCTTTTTAAGGATACAAGTGCGCTACTGCGACCGGCTTGCTCGGTGGCCGGCTGTATACTACTTCTAAACGTTGAGTTAGCAAGTTGAGCGCTCGAGCGTGGATGGAGAATAAGCGAAGTCACGTACGGATATAGTGTGAGAATTTAGAGACGGATGAGAAGAAAATGCTCACTCTGAGTCTGAGAGTGTCCAGTGGATCTTTCGGTGGCCATCGTCGTCTACAAGCATGCTTGCGACCTTGCCCACCGTCGACCGACTGCCCCAAGCTACCCGATAACAGAGTGGGTATAGTAGGGAGTCGTTGTAGGGATGCAACAGCGGCCGCTCGTGAGGGCGCTGCAGCAGCAGCAAACCACTACGAATCCTGAATGACCTTTCCTGCGTGCTAGCAGAATATGCGATCTCGTCTTTTCGTGACGTTCAGCGTTTCTTCACCGTCGGAGTATTCCAGCCATTGGCAAGATCGGAAGACCGAGCTTGGCTACTCGGCTTGTCAAATGGGCTGGAAGAAGGGAGCCCGTTGTTGGCTTCAGATGCCTGGAAATGGCCGCTGTCAGGATCATGATCTACTACCATGGGGTCGGTACAGAACATGATCAGCAGTCGATCCACAACATCCCGCATTGTCTCTTGAGAAATGAGCTGTGCGTTGAGATGTTTTCGAAATGTGAACATGGCCGCTTTGAAAGTCTGGTGGTAGACGAGCTTGTACTCGTCCTCGGCCTCATTGGCTACTGAAGTCGTGTCGATGTGCGATGTCACTTGACTAGGTGGCTGTGGCTTGCTTGATGGCTTTTTCTTTTGCTGTAGTCCATGCAGGCGCATGCCAGCCATGATGACCTTCGTGAGTGCGGCCCTATTTTTTTGGGCACAGCTTCCATCTAAATCTGAGGGTGTTGGGCTGTCGCGAGGAGAAATCGCCCTCTCTACGTGGTGCAGCGATGAGCGCTTTCCATTGGCCAGTAGCCCTGAGCGGGATCCAGGCCGAGGGTGTTCTGGGACGGCGACAGATGACATGCTGGATGCTCGCGAGAGACTCTTCCTTCTCAAGTCGTTTTGCTGCGGCTGAGGAGCCTCTTGCTTCTCCGGCAGTCCATGCTGAGAAGGTGGGCGGTCAATGCTGGCCATGGCTTGAGAGATACTCTCTCCGCCGCGTCCTTTGAACTTTCTTCTCTTCTTCGTTGCATCCTCGAATAAGGTGGAGATGCTTTGACGCTTCTGAGGAACCGGCTGCGTGACTCGACCTGGATCATGCGTGTGCGGAAGAAAGCAAGCTTGCGGAACGCTCGGGAACTCTTTTAGGGTTGATGGACAGGTTTCCAGTGAAAGTTTCGCGCGGCCGATGCTGTTCGAGCATAGCGGTAAAGCGTAGACCTTGACCGTCTTTCCACCCTGGTCCAAAGCGTCCGAAGTATCCTCATCCGGAGGCGCTGGGGAGGAAGACGTCGGCGGAGTTGGTAGCGATGTATAAGTCTTCGTGGACGCAGCATAGAGCAACACTTCTGTGATCACGTTCCGTATCTCACGGTCCTCCACCTTCTCAGTCTCAACTCCGAGGAGTATGCCATTTTCCGACTGCCTGCCCGAGTGCGACCACCACGGCTCCCGTGACGCGTCCCCACGGAGGTCAGACTCCTCATAATCAAGCAGTGCCTCCGTCAACCATCTTGTAGTAGCCTCATTTCCTGTAGAAACATCGCAGGATGGTCCCGCGGCGAGATATAAAGGGATCCGAGTGACCTCTACTAGGGACAGGAAATGCAGCTTTGCGTCCTGAGAAAGGGGGACTTGTGTCGAAGATTGGGGAGCCCAGATTTGGACATCTACATGATGGTCAGCGTGCGTGTAGCTGCATCAGGGGTCGGGCATTACCTTGGATGCAGGTAGCCAGATCATCCGTGCTGATATTGCCGCTCCATACTTGGGACATTGTTGCTGCATTGTCTCAACTCTCAAGGTCGAGTCGCTATCTGGGCGGCAATTGCTTGGACGTTGTGGACGTGGTTAATGCAGACCTATCGGCGCGTGATACGGTCGAGGGTTGCATCATTCGCCGAGCGGATAATGAATTGGTCGTGGTGATATTAGCAGGGATGGTGGAGACGCGTGAGGCAAAAGTGGCACTTCCGAGTTCTACGAGACTTTCCGAGCCTTGTCCGAGCTTTCTCGAAGCGCCATAGTTGTGTCAAGCTTTGATGGGAACAGGCTGCTGCTGCTGCTTTTTATCACCACCACTTCCTGCTTCAGTATCTACGACCATCTGAATCTTCGACGATAGGAGCAAGCCAAATTTATTACGAACCTTAAGACGAATCGCTGCATTTCCTCGCAGAGTGTTGAGGAGCAGCGGTATTACGAAAGGAACAAGCGTTTGCCCACACCATTCTCAACGTCTTTCAAAACAAACTTCGTGAATACAGCTGTTTATTTTTACCATGGCCCACACCCCACAATCTCACATATGACGTTCGGTTGTACTATCGATGTGACGCCCGCTCTTTATTCATACATGCCAAACCAGGCTCTAGAAATCCTGCTCCTCCTGGAAGAACATTGTGAAGCTTATGATGGTTCCGTAGATCAGCAGTCCTCCAATTATCGACATAGCCATAGCCGGAACAGCGATCAGACCGCAGTGGGCCAGGAATGCCGGAAGAGCTGTAGACAGACACCCATCAGCACAAACCCTTCGTCACACACACTCCCACAGCCCAACACTTAGCCAACTCTGTGGAAGGACAGCACACATACCAACACCCATCACAACCAAAAACCCCGTACAAAATCTTCCAAAATCCACCACTGCGCTCCCAGCACTTTCCATGAAATCATCGGGATTCGCACATCTTCCGCATATCCAGTTCGGCAAGGGTGCAATTATGTAGGTAGCTACGACGAGCAGGGTCAGGTAGCTGTGAAAGAGAGCGGAGGAGAGGATGACGAGGAGGAAGCCTATGGCGAGGACCTAGGACGTTTCCGCGATTAGTTGGGGTAAAGTGGTCGGATGATGAGGGTGGAAGAGAAGGGGAGTAGGGAGGAGCATACGAAGGACAATGCGATGATAGTCTTGAGGCCCGCTGCCATCCTGTCGGTCTGTCGCGTGCACGGACTGGGGCCTGGATTATGCTGAGTGGGGAGGCATGCGCTGAATGCCGATGGACTTGAAGAGATGCGATTTTAGAGACTGATAGATGAGGATGGTTTTGTTTTTGTCGACACACTGTAGATGCAAATTAAGGCGATATCACTCGTCGAGGAAAGCAATAAGACAGTGTTGGCCGCTGTGAAGAAGCAGGGCTGGGTCTTTGCGGCATTTGGGCGCCAAGCTCGCAGGGATCTGTCAGCCTTATGGCTCTTGGCATCGATATTGTCTCTTTAGCACTTTGCAGATATCAAGAGCATATTCGCCTTTTCGTATCTTTTACATAATGAATCAGTTCTTCTAGATTTCTATGAGGTCTTACCTATACCTAACGATACCTTCAAGAATCTCAACAACTCAACCTGGGTATCTTCAACTCGGAAATCAGCAAATCACTACAGTCCCCTCGCCTCGTCATGTTGATCATACATTGTCGGCTGCAGTGGTCTTGGTCATGACGCGGCATAGTACCGACTGTTTAGCATGTAAGATGCTGAGAGGGTGGAGTGCTGGACCCGCAGTAAGACTTGTGCTTCCATTTGCCTGTGTTGGGGTCGTCACGGTCATCGGTCTCCTTGTCCTTTTCCTCCTTGGCCTTCTGGTCAGCTTCTTCTTCCGCTTTTCGCTTTTCCTCTTCTTCGGCCTTTCGATTAGCTTCCTCTTTCGCTCTTCGGTCGGATTCCTCTTTCGCCTTCCGGTCGGATTCCTCTTTGGCTTTCCGGTCAGCCTCCTCTTTGGATTTCCGGTCAGAGTCCTCTTTGGCTTTCCTATCTGCCTCTGCTTCCTCCTTGGCCTTTCTGCCTGCCTCTTCTTTGGCCTTACGATCAGCTTCCTCCTTGGCCTTTCTGTCTGCCTCTTCTTTGGCCTTCTGGTCAGCTTCATCTTTGGCCTCTTTCTCAGCCTCCTTCCGGTCTTCCTTCGTTTTCCGTACCTTCTCTAAACCTTCTTCCATCTTCTTGATCCTGGCCATGTGTTTTTGATGCTTGTACTCTTCTTGCTCCTGCTTGATGCGCTCTTGCTCGGCTCTATCTACCTTGATTTTCTTTTCGTATCGATACAAGAGCTTCTTGATCTCGTCTAGCTTGGCCTGCTGTGCCCGCCATGTACCGTCCTTCGGGAAACCGAATGTTTCCAAATCTTTAACAGTAAGGCCCTTGTAACTGACAACATTGCCCGCAGAGTCCAACTTGAGATCCTGAGGAAGCTTGAGGGGCTTGTTGTCCGGACCTACCGCCGCCGGTCTCCCATTATCATATACAAGAGTGCGACTCCAGACGTTCTCGCCGTATTTGCTCGCATAGAAGATTTTGGCATCAAAGGATAATAAACTGTATCCCTGGGGAACAATGCGGACAGGGTAGTCCAGAACAACACCCATGACGGGAACCTTCACGGGTCTCCCCATTGGCGGTAGCGTGTCAGCAAACTGGACCGATTCTGGGTCGTCGTATTTTGGAGGCTTTATTTCAAAAGGTCCAAACTTTGGCGGTCCAACAGTAGGTGGATCACCAGTGGAAGGCGGGTCTTCAATGGCTGTGTCTTCCCCAGGAAGAGGGCCTGGTGGGGGAGGTGGAGCAGTCTGACAGATTAGCAATTCATCTGCTTACACAGAATGTCGAACTCACAACAGCATCCTCGATCTGCGCAACCTGCACATTCGTCAAAATCCCGGGATTCACAGCCTCTTCCTGCAAAATGCTGTTTTCGATGTCAGCAGCGCGGTCAAGATCTGCTCCTATATCTCCCGGCCACACGGTATCTTCGGACAGCCGTGACACGCTGCTCACCCTCGTAAGTGTCTGTACTACGGCGGATTGCTCCTCGACGACTTCGACCCCAGCTTTACCTTCCGACACGGCTTTTTTCTTAAGAAAATTCCAGATCGCCCATTGAACTGTGATAGAGAGCCCTGTGCCTCCAACAATTGAAGGGGCGAGGATCTCGGCGAGTTTGGCGACATGCCTGGCATGCTGGGCAGGATCGGCGGGTGGCAAAGCTGTAGGTATCGCTGCGGACGTGGATCCTGTGCTTTGGGTAGAGGAAGGTCTCACTACTGCAGCGAGTGGAAGAACTAAAATTGTGTCATTGCCAGCAGAAACGGTCTGAGTGGTGGTCGGGTTGTTGGTAGTAGATGAAGTTACTTTCACGGGTTGGGTTCGAGTGGTGACTGGTTCTGAACTGAATCTGGAAAACTTTGAGGACGATCTCAAGGATCTATTCAACGATTTGACACTCGTCGTCTTCGTCCTGTGGGAGCTCGATGAACGGCTTCTACTGAGTGTTGTACCAGAGGGCGAAATGGAGGTAGCATCATTAGTCTGGTTTTGACTGGTTGCTGTTTGGGTTGACAGCGCTCCGGATGACGAAATAGAAGACCTTTCGGTTCTCTTTGGGGTGCTGCTGGCATGGATCCGAAGCGGGATAGATTTTGTCGTTGAAGCTGCGCCAGATGCCGAGATGACAGTCGAAGTCATAAACGACGAAGAAGCACATGATATGCAAACGGATCTGACTACTGTCGCGTTTCCTTTCCGAGATTCAGACGACAGGACTTTCCCGACCGTGGTCATAGGTCGGCTAGAGGTAGAAGTCAAGACTTGAGTCGCCCAGGAGAAAGCAGACAATGTACCGTTGAGGAGGCCAGTCGTAGGATATGTCATCACAGATCCAGAAGATAAAGCCATCGTGGCTGAAGTCGGGTTGTGCTCGGACGTGAGTTCCAACCCGGGGGGCATAGATGAGAGACTCGACAAATACCTTGTTAGACCGGCAGTGCTTGAATTGGCTGATTGATACTCAGACGAAGTTGCTATACTGACGACCGTCTTCAGCGTGTGAAAAATGGTAGTATACGCAGTTGAAAGTACAATAACAGGGCTCGTCGCGTTGAGCGACTGCGATACCAAAGTCTGTACAATCGCGCTTCTTGTTGTGTTAGCTGGGAATTGTACTTTGGCCTTGGTGACGTAGGTGACAGTTTCAGGACCGGTTTTGTTCACCTTAGCCCGTGAGCTTGCAAGGCTTATGGGTTCCAAAGAGGGCGTCGCCGCTGTGTAGTTCGCCAGCCTAAGTGTGGCATTGGCAGAGTCAACAAGATGGGCTGGGGTGTTTACAGTGACAACATTGTTTCCGGAGACCGACGAAGCCTTCAATGATTGCACATGGGTGAGAGAAGAGACAGAAGAACTCGATCCACGAGTTTGGTAGACTCGGCTGACGGTGATGTTGGAACCAGGATTCGGGGCTGCAAAAGCCACAGCGCTGTTCAAGAAGCTCAGTAGAAGGCAGCAGCTGAGCACAGCGAGACACATGGGCGAGCCGGAAACGGAGATCATGATCACAGCTACTTGTTGTGAGAACGGGCAGAGACCTCTGGGTTATCGAGACCAGGACGTATTGATTACACAGCAGTACTGGTTGAAGATTATTTGATTTGGAGAATTGACTAAAGGAAAAGATAATATACCAATACTGATGAAAAGTGGAAATGCCATTATACAAGAAATGCATTATTTAGAAATGTTGCTCATATTCGACATTTTTGCCCCAAGATTGTATTCTCAGATGAGCTTAGTATCTCTCTTGGCCAACCCAACAGAGCGGATGCAATAAGATCAATCAATACCACCAAAGGGTATGATGATTTCTATATTTGTATAGGCCCACGAAGGACAAAAATTCACCAGAACCTGACATGGTCGTTAGATCTGCGCCAATTTCTAAAGCGCATTGACTGCTTTGGGGCATCGAAGGCTTTACCATGCGCAAGAATCGTATCGGTTCGGCTTGGCCATCCTCAGCTGGCAAAGACAGCGAAAGGTTTTCAAGAAATTCGAGACTTGCTGGCCCTCGGTCCAGCGTTCTGTGGAAACCCCTGACAACTCCAAGTCATTTGGTGGACAGCCTGGTTCTGATTTCTGGTATTTGTGTCTAGCGGTACCTTCTCGGTGAGCGCAACATCTCCTACTCGAACCCGTTGCAGCTCCTGCGTTCTCTGCTTTGGTGCATGGCGGGTACGGACGTCAGAGTTGTAAGGCTCTTGTTTTTTCAGGAACCTGGGCGGCAGTTCGAGGGGTGATATTCGGGTTGGTGTGGAGGAAGATGCTGCATCACCAGTCTATACGCAGTAGCTTTTGAAGCAAGTAAAAGATTTCTATACCAAGATCTATAGCGTTTGTGGTACTTAAATTGAGAGCCCCACACGCCAGCGTTCGTGCCCCATATCGACCTCGCCATTTCTTCGTACCGGGTTACCCATGGGCAAGTCTTCTCAGAATCCCTCCACATTCACGACTACGCAATGCTGCAATACATACCCTCACAAATTCGGAGTTTTGAGGGAATTTCTTCAAAGCTGTTCTTCGTCGAGTGCAAGCTTACAAATAATTGGTCTCTCTCTAAAACCAGGCTCAAGGCTCGGTGATCCTCCTTCGCCGGAGATAAAGCAATCGTACCAACAGCCTACGTCCTAAATTGAGGAACGTCGAGAATGATAGCGCCGCTCATGTCAATCCGATTGCCAAGTCCACTTCTCCCCCCAATACCAAGCCTCAATTCCTCCTCTCTGCTCAACTGCACAGCTCCCAAAACATCGTCGCCCGTCACCATCTTGCCACAAACCCTTGCAGAACGGGCCGGAGACCCAGCAAATTCCATATCTACTCGCAGATATCGGCCCTCATTCTCCACCAACGTCCAAAGCTGTGTGCGCTCTCTGAACAGCGTGATGGTTGCGTTTGCTATCGCTCTTTCGGTTCCCACGTCTTTTAGCAAAGTGTGTTCGAGCAATCTTGTGCTGGTGAAAGTGTTCTCCGCCTTGTCGTAGACACCGCTCACGTCACCGCTGTATTTGGCCCAGGCAGAGTGAGCGTGGCAGAGGACTAGTCTCGAGTTGGAGGGGAGGCGGGGGTCAAGTAGCTGGCGGTATCATTTTTGATACGGACATGGTCGTTGAAGTTTCTGCAGTCGCTGGGAGCTTCTCTTTTGATCCATGGGTACACGAGTTTGTATGTGGTCTCTACGAGAGGGGTTTGGTGTGCTGTACTTGGAACATGAGATGACTGGTCGGAAGAAGTCATTGATGAGCCTATGTCAATCTGTTGAGAGCAAAGTTCTGTTTGGAAAGTGGAAGAGGAGAGCGGAAGCTGAATTATATCAGGAAATGACATCCGCCATTCTGATTGCCAGGCAAGCAAACTCTGAGAGGTATCACGGTCACGAGCTTCTGCTAGCACGAGACCCTGTGACCGTCACTGCAAGTCAAACACAGTATGTGCGGGCTGCTGCGACGGACGCAATTGCTGACCGTCAATTACAACGTACTTATCAGGCATTCTGGCAGTGGAGGTCAGAAGAAAAGGGCACCTATATTTACCCTCTGCTTCCATGTTGAGGAAATGCGGCCTTGATAAACCTGGAAGATGAATTTGACACAACGACAAATCTGTAGGTAAACAGGACAGAGCAAAAAGCCCGTAAGTGTGGCCGTGCGGATGGTCAACAAAAATTTGGCTGGGGCCGCTGTGCCCCTTCTATTCAGACACTTCTCGTCTACCAAACCCCCAAAGAGCTGGTAGGAACTGAGCTCAGTCACAGGATGTGAGTGGCTAGCATCGTATGTGATGAAGCCCGAGATTGCTGCCCTTGAATACCTTCCTCATTACTAGGACTTCGTGGACTGGAAGCAATCCACGTGGATATTTTGGTGGGACGACTGCTACGACCAGATCAACCGAGCAGGGATGGTGCCAATACTCGTGGAGAAGCTAGAAACCCAACTATCTAATCCTGATCCGCACCAGAGTTTTGAAGAGTGGAAGCATAGTCTTGAAGTACGTCGCTGGGACTACCGAAAGGCCCAGGATGATACAGCGGGCATGGTTTCCGAATGTCCTTTGTGCAGAGGTTCCTTCGCAACACCGTCCAACGTCCAGCAAAGGGAATCTCTTCTGTGTCCTTTACCGGTATAAGATGCGATCGTTGGCGCGAGCTATTACTGATCTTGCACAGTCACATACCTTTGTTTTATGCACTCCCAAATGGAAAATGTTCACTACTAAGCTTTGCCAATGCCGTCTCATATATTTGAGTTCAATTCTGTGCCACATCCGACCCCGTCATGTTGGTATGTTCCTGATAAACAACCTCAGTTGCATTTCCTTTTGACTCTTCACTCCACCGTCCTGATAGAATCAACTAAAGCAACCCTCTCATACTTCATGCCCGTATACCAAATCCGGATCGTCATCCGCAACCTCGAAAGTCGTCATCGGCTCTCAAAATTTGCCGAATAAATTTACTCTGGAACCCTATAACATAAATAGCACTTCACAGGAAAGCAGGCAACATCATCAGTGGTAGTGACATTTTCTAGACCTCTGTATACCATTTTGTTCTAACAAGCCTCACCGCCTCCCAATACTCGCTGTTTTCTCCTCTAAAAAGTCGAACGGAAGACAATCCCGGATGTCGAGAAACCCACTGTCCTCGCAAGTGTTTTTCCTCCTTTGACCAGAAAAATTCACCCATTCCCACGTCAAGACCATCAGCCACACTAGTGACCGCATCATTCCAAGTTCGAATGCTAATTCTCAGCACCCACACCCCCAACCTGCGCCCCAGTAACCACAGCCTTCAACAACCCCTTCGTCCCGAACGACATCCTCCCCCCAATAGCCGGCGACCTCGTCTGCCCCAAACACTGCTTCATCACGCCGTCCGGCCCGAGCAGCTCCGCATATATCTCCGCCAGTGTCAACGTGTCCTCGTCGTCTTCATTGATCATATTCAAATAGATCAAACAGCTCCCACTCGCCTTCTGGAAAGGGAGCAGCACGTCATCGAGGGTGGAGCCCGCGGTGGGATTTCGACTGAAGGTGCGAGGCTGGATCAGAGATTGGCCGCGGACCCAATCGTCGAGTGCGGCTTCGCAGTCGGGTTTGTTGGTTGCGACGAAGGGGGGGGACTCTGGTCGGTTTGAAGCAGCCGATTTTGGCGCCGAGGTTGGTGTTGTTGGTGGTGGGAGATAGGCGGGCGAGGGTGAGGGGGGCCAGGTCGAGTAATTGTGTGGGGGCGAGTGCGAGAGGAGTAGCGAGGAGGAATGGTAGCAGGAGAGAAGCGGCCAAGAGAAGTGGGCACATGGTTCTGGAGTTCGGATGGGAGGTGCAGAAGCGGAAGATAGGTATCGAAAAGGTATCGGAAAAAGGATGAATCCCAATTCCCACGTTTTGTTTGCGCCTAGTGTCGCCAATTTTGTAACACCCCTAAAGAACGCATCAACGCATCGCTTACGGCTCGGTCGCGCTTGGACCATTGCTTACATACATGCGATGCAACGAGTAATGTGTCTCGCGTCTGTACAAGATGAATGGGAAAATGCTAATAATATTTTGCCAACGTATTGGGAGGAGCGGTGGTATCTTGGAAAGCTTAGGCGGGGCAGTTGCGTGGGATAACAGCGCAGTGCTGGAGCCTGACGCGAGGAATGTTTGGGTGCCGGAGCTTTGGGGGGCTAGGACTGTGATGAAGGTGCCAGATCCCATGGTAGTGGTAGAGCCAGGAGGGAGGGACTGCCCGCCGGCGAGAATACATCGGTTTTGGATATCAGCTGTGATGTTCTGAGAGCCGATTACAAGAGCTGGTCCTTCGATAGATTTGGTACTTTGGAAGAAGTACTTGGACCGTTTATGAGCGTTATCAAAAAAAAACCTTTTTTTTTTTTTCCCCCCCCTCTTTTTTTTTTTTTTTTTCCCTCATTCCCCCCCTCCCCCCGCGAAAGTGCTGTGAAAGAAGACTGTACTAGTCTTCGCATCCAGAATGGTCGTAGATTGCTGGACAGCGGTATCAGACGATCTTTGAGGTTGCAGAGCGCCTCAGGCCTGGCTGGCTGGGACGCTTTCGGAAGCGCTCGGCAATGAGGCGACTTTGAGTCCAATGTTCGGGCTCTGCTGGGGGGTTTTTGAGGCCTTTCGACGGAGAGGAGGAGAAGCCTCAGCGTAATGAAGATGAATAGATGGCAGCGACGGCAGTATCGATCGAAGGGACTCGAAAAACGTCGGCTCGGTGGCGCGTGACAGAAAGTAGATGATGGTAAATGATAAATGACAAACATGAGGATTCGAACGGAAAGGTCCCAACGGTGCAGATGTGAATGACAGAAAGCGCAATGTTACGTGGAAGGGCCCATGAAGCAATTGACCTCATGGACAATCACGCAATAGGCTACGAACGGGGGTATGTATCTGCATAAACTGTACCAGAAGCGCCCAACAAAATGTGTAGCAAGAGGAACAACTATGTCTGCCCAAGTAGCCATATGTAAATGCACCTTCTCTTCTAACATTGACTCGCCGTTGACCTCCCTTCTTCTGGTATATCTGGGTGTGTGCCAGCGGTGAGACGCGCATTCGGTGCGGGCTTGCCTCCAGAATCAGTCTGATGGTCCACGTAAGGCGTCACAGATGGGGGCTATCTGATATAAATATCCTTATAAAGTCGCCTATAGCACTATAGCTATTCGTCGCGTAGGAGAGGTAGCGAGCTTGAAATCCGGATTGCTTGGATTCGAGATAAAGGACAGATAATACTGTCGTAAGGTAGCGTAGGAGTCTCATAGCGCTTTGATGGATGTTTTACTAATCCATAGAGCTGCTCACTTGCGTCTGGAGGCGATCGGATGCCATTATTATCATCGTTACCGTCGACGGTCTCGAGGATGATGGTCCAGCCTGGGGGGAAAGATAGAGTGATGGATGTTCAGGTCATTGGCTTTGAAGAAGAGGCCAGCAGAGACGGATGAGACAGTGATGATTTGCCCATGGGGTAGGTGGACCATACCCGGGGCCATGGACAATCATTTAGCGTTAGATTCGACAGACGCTGTTTCTCTGCGGGCATTTGGATGACGAGTGATGACGAGCACTTCGATTACGTATCGCTTTGCAGACGCGGGAAATGCACATGTGCGACTCAATAACATCAAGAACAAACCACCAACGATATAACTGAACTTGTGTTTGCCATGAGACATTACTACATGGGTTCGCGGAGGTAGATGAGAATGAGAATGAGAACGAGATTCTCTAGTCCTGAGCATAAAATTCATCTGGAATTATTATGATTAAGATTCACAGAACCTCAAGTACATTGAGTAAGCTGGGAAATGTTTGCGAAGCCTTGTAGGCAGCAAACAACATTGCGGTAGCCTACATGCTTTGCTCCACCACGGGAAACGTACCATCGTTGAGTCTCGCATCTCCGTTCCGAGTATGTGCTGATCACGTCTGCTTTTACATAGGATCTCGATAGCTCATACTCATTGTGAAGGTAATTAGGGAGGATTGCTATGACAGCAGGAAGGACGAGAAGCACGGTCGGATACTCACGTCCAGTATATTTGATTTCCCGCTGATGAAGATTCATGTAGTTACAGAGCGAGATTGATCTAGAGTCAAGTCACACTTAAGGATGCCGTGGCCGATCGGATGGTAATCAGAGCGTCTTTTCAATATGTTGAGAATACCTAGAGTTAGTCGGGATACTCCAGGGTGTAAATATAATGACCACCCGTGGCCATATCACATCTCCCAGATCCCTCCGCGAATGCCTTTCCAGTCACCAGAACCTCGTAACCTGGTCGCTCTCACATCCAATACATTGGCAAGGCCCTTCCCTAGCGCTTTAGGCCAAGCTGCTACATCATCACGCACAATTGGGTCATTCTTCATCTTAATTTCTCTACGAAACCACCTTCTGACGAGAAGTCAGTTGTAGAGTACGCATGAGGAAGAGTTGATACATGCACTTCCCAGTGCGCAAACATGTCCGATCGAGCCCTCCAGCACCGCCGCGTGCACAACCTTCTCCTGATCCAGAAGCTGCTCGCGTCCAGAGACGCGTCGTCCCCGTTTACGCTGGTGTTGGATTCGGTAGAGCAGTCTGCGGGGCCGCTGGTGCGGCATTATATCCATCATGCAAAGGTATGCTTGATGTCTTCTATTATCTATCTGTTTGTCTACTTTTGTTCGTTTTTGTTCGTGCGGGCTTTGGCTGAGGGGGGTGGTTTAGGCGTCGAAGATGGATGTGGTTTTTGTTTCGTATGAGAGCTTGAAGCCACCGGCGGATGTTACTGCTTTGATTAAAGCGCGGGGGAAGGATCCTTCTGCGGTGAGAAAGGAGATTGAAAGGTGTGTTTCGAGCTCGAGACGTGAGTAATTGTTTCCCGGATTTTTCAAGTAATTCCTTTACGTTAGTATATTAAACCCTAGCCGCAGGCACACTCCTGATCCTCGACTCCCTCTACCCCCTCACCACGCACCCTTCCCTCCCCCTCTCATCCTTCCTTTCCTCACTCCCTTCCCCCACCACTTCTCTCCTAGCAATCTACCACACCGACGTCCCCTTACCCTCTCCCTCCCTTTCCCTCACCACCACCACCACCAGTAGCATATACACCCCCTCCCCCTTGACCCTCCTCCGCTACCTCGCAACCACAGTCCTCACCACCCACAGCTTCTCGCAGATGCTCGCCCGCAAACGCGCCAAGGAGAAAAGCAGGCCGGATCCGCTGTTCGGAACCGACGAGGGCAAGGAGGGCGTGCTGGTGGGCGTGGGCGCGAATGACAAACGGGCTTGCGTCGTCGAGATGGAACATAGACGGAAATCGGGCAGGGGGGTCGAGGAGTGGTTTTTCCTGCCGGAGGTGAATGGGAGTGGGGGCGTTGTGCTGCTGGAGGACCAGGAGCTCTATCGGCGGTCCGATGACCGTGAGGGGAGGTCGGACGGGGTGGAGGCTCGGGTGGAGCTGGCGACGTTTGAATTGGGCTTGACGGCGAAGCAGAGGAGGGATCGGGAGGGTGTGGTGTTGCCGTATTTCGATGCGCAGAAGGGGGCAGGGGGCGGCGGGGGGAGGATCTTGTATGATATGGGCGTTGAGGATGATTTCGATGAGGAGGAGGATGAAATTTGAACTAGGTGTAGGCGCTATCAGTGTAAAGTTGTGCTCCGAGGTAGAGGCTGAGCTGAAGGCAAGATGGTCGATGCTCCATTCTTAGATGCTTCGTGTTTGGCAGCTATCTTCTTGAATCGCTGCTAAGAGTGAATAGCATGCGCCAAGATCTGCTACACACGGCCGTTCATCTTGTCTCCGAATGCTACATTCTCCCCGTCCCAATAATCGCTTGTTCTACATGATCCCCGGGGCATGAGACGCGTCTTCAGCGCTCCGCTACCGACTCGGGCTCAGCGGCCTATTGAACCCTCCAACACGGTTCATATACTGCCTGTACTCCGTCTTCTTCTCCTTCCTCACCCCATACACGTTGTTGCCCTTCACCTTCGTGTTTTTCGTTGACTTGAAGCCCGTGAACCCCATCGCTTTACGCATCTCGGCGATCTCGGGGTCGGAATCTGCGTCCACTTGCATGTCATCTGTTTCCTGGTTCTTAGGAGGCTCGGTTGAGGAGCTGGTGCCGTTTATCTTGGTGGCGGGTTTGGGAGAAGAGTCTGCGGCGGGGAGAGGAGGTTTGGACGGTGGAGGTCTGGTCGAGGCGCGAGGACCGGTGGGTGGGGCGCGGTCGTTGGCAGGTTTCGAAGGTGGGCTTCGAGATCGAGGTGGTTTGGAAGGTCGAGCTGGTGTGCGTGTTCGGGCGCGGGTGGAGGTGTGGTCTTTTCGCGGAGAGCGTGAGCGGCGTGATGCGGGTTCGTCTGCACCACTGGTCAGCCTTCCCTGTACGTATTGGCATTAAATCCAGTGCACCAACCTCGCCGCGACCTGTGCTTCTCCCGGCTCCTGCTCCGTTCCCTATCCCTCCTATCTCTCGCTCCGTCTCGATCCTCATCTTTATGTCTTCGCCCTCCTCTTTCTCTTGAGTCGCTCCGCTGCCTGCGGGGCTTTTCTGGCCGGTCTCTGGATCGACTTCTATCTCGCCGCCTCTCCTTAGACCTAGATCTGTATCTTCGATCGTCGCGTCCATGATGCCGGTCTCTATCATCTCGTTTTTCTCGGACACCGCTGGTGCCGTTTGTAGCACGCGGGTGGTTGCTGGCGTCTGTTGGGCGGGGGCTGCTACGCTCCCACATGGCGGAGCTATCAGTGCGCTTTGCGCGTTTGGCTGGTGGTTCTGCCATCCTAATCAAAGGTGGAGGCTGATGGAGGTTGGATTGAGCGAAGTGCTGAGTTCGAGGTTTTGCGCATCAGGCAGCGGGACGGCGGAACCTTTTGCCGAAATCTCTTGGCGCTCTCGTCTGCCAGAAAGCGAGAGTAGAAGGTTACGCAGGGTGCAGGGAAAGATGGTACGCTCTGGGATTCTACTGTTAACTGGAATTTTTTCGTGAAATCGGGTTTCTCTGTGTCTTTGATTACTCTATGTATTATAAGCTTTTTGTATACTGCTACATGCTTTGTTCTCTCACAATTTGAGTGCCGTCTCAACGACAGAGCGTGCATTAATTACGCTCTAGAATGGCCCATCACCATACGGACAAGCATAACCCTGTCCACCACTTCCGCTCCGGATGTAGCAGACCTTTTGCTTTGCGCAGGCTGCGGTTGAGCAATTTTTGGTGACGACACTACTCTTGGTCTCCAAAAGGTTGTACCTCTCAACAAGAGATTGGTTGGTTAGCATAGAGTATGTGACATCGGTCCAGAAAGTGGCGTTGAGAGGAGACGTAGCAGGCCATGTGCCGTTGACATTATATGTAGAGCGAGAATCGTATTCGAATTGCCAGACTGGGCTAGTCCAGGTGAGAGATTCGGAGACGTTGGCGAAGTATGTTTGGATGCCCATGATCTCGAAGGTTTCCGCGTCGACCTGGTATCGCTGGTAGCCGGCATTGTTGCCAGTCAAGGGGGTGATGGAGGGGCCGATGAAACCCATTGTTAGTGGCTTGGAGATGTCAATGTCGTTCGTGTTACGGAGAGTTCCGTTGAGACTAGTGGCACTATAGTCATAAAATATCTGTAATTGATCCTCATGAGTATGACCAAAGAAGATGGCGGCAATCGTCGCAGGCGCGAAACGAGCGACTATCGAATAGAATAGCGCAGTCGGGTTGGGTAGGCCGTTGGACCCGTCGTATCCTGATAAGACGTGGCCAATGATCCATGCACGTTGGCCTTTTGCTTCACAAGCCTCAAGTTCCTTGATCAGGAATTTCAAGATGCCGGACTGATCTGGATTCGTGAAGTTGAAGAAGTTGAAGACATTGTCAACGTACCAGAAATCGGTGTTGATGGAGATGATTCGGAGACCTTGAGCAGTGGTGTGGGCGTAGGCTCCGTAATGCGTGGACGCGTGATTCGCTTCTGCTGCAGTGATCCAGCCGTCTCGCTCCCACATGGAGCTTAGAAGGTCGTAGTTCCAGCTAAAAATGTTATTTGCGCCAGCTGTCTTCTTGCCATCGATGTTGTTTGGGGTGTTATAGGCCTCTGGCAAAGAGTCGTGGTTGCCCAAAGTTGGATAGATGGGAATGTCACCCATCTCAGCTTTGAAGACCTCGTAGGTCACAGTTTCCTCGTACTCAACGTATGCTCTGCTCAGTTGGTCGTCGTTCTGCCGATACATTCTGGATTAGCACGGGCATACAGCAGAAGTGCGAAATGAAACTTACGTCGTGGCTCACAATGTCACCTGTGAATATGGTGAAGCTGATATCGTCGACGTTGAAGAAGGAGGGCATAGATTTGAAAGAAGACAACGCCAGGTCTGGCGGTGAGTCGCAATACAAGTAACCAAATCTCGAGGCTGGCACCGAGGCATTGCTGACCCCAGTATCCAGCTTAGTGTTGGTCGAATAAGGTCTGCAGCACAAATACTGGGAACAATTTGCTTCCGACCCAATGTCATAGCGAGGGTCCAAATGCCAATCCGAAAGATGCAAAACATTGATGGTCTTTCCAGACGGTTTAGGAACGATGGAAGCCGCCGGTGGCTTGGGGCTGAAATAAAGACTTTCATCTATCTCGATGGTTGGTGGGACTGTGCACGTATCCTGCAATTATTCAGTCACGGCTGAGCAAAGATCTGACCTCTATACTTACCCATTGATAATAACACCAAGCTTGGTAGTCGCCTGTAGACTCGTTCATTTTGGCAAATCTGAAACCTGGTCAGTAAAGCGATTCCTCATTGCCAGTCTGCAGGCCTCTCACAACTGCGCCCAGTATGGTCCGAGACCGCCAACACCAGAAAACTCGGATTCGCCATTCACCGCATAAATTGCGAAATCCGTCAGATTCCCTTGGCGACATTAGTATGCGAATATTGTTCTAACAACGTGTATAGGTGGAGACCCACAAACTCGGATCAGCAAATCGGTGATAACAGACACTGGTTGTGAAATTGCGGCTTCGTGGAAGACATTGGTGGAAGCAAGGCACTTTTCACACTTGGTGGTGTAATTACTACCGTTGGCTACAATGGCTGCAATTTGATTGTAGAAGGAGTTCTCCGTCTGGTTAGTCCTAGAAGATTGATGAGTATGGCATTGAGGACACGAGCCACGTGGTGTGTACATACGGATACAGTGGAGTAAAGGGTGCTGGTATTGGCGAGGTCTCGTTGTACCTGCAATTTGTGAGCGGCGTTTAATGAAACTTGGGTACATAGAGACGCTTACGGCGGGACTGGGCCGGAGCCATTGTAATAGAGGGTTGGGCCTCCCTTATCACCAATCGTGTTGGTCAGTTGCGGGTTCAGCGCTTGCGGCGTATAGTTTGTTGCCGTTGCTGCATGCTTTGCGTACTGCAGCAGTGCAAGGCTAGCGATGTTTTGGAAGAGCATGACGGAAAGAGCAGCGCAAGAGGCGACGAAGAGAAATAGCTGGATGATCTTTGCCTTGGGGGTTTGAAGGAGTGGACAGTTGCTATTCCGGGAAGGCTTCATATATACTTGTCACTTTTCAACGAGTGACCGCACCGAGTGAGAGCTATGATAGAAAGCTCCACATGGTACCTGCTTAGAGGATGCATGTAAAGGGTCCGGGGGGGTATTCGGGTTGTGGAGAACCAATGATAGATGGATGTTGTCGCATGAATGGCAAGGACTCGTGAAGATTGAGCAACTCGGACCGGTAACGGCTTCTTTGTGCCTAATTGGTCAAGCCTTGGTGGCTAAGGCTTGGAGGCAGGAGGCAGGAGGCAATGGATTCTCAACGCGTTCAGCATGACGATTGATTCGATTCAGATACGAATAAATCGGAGCTTCTTGATCGAAAAAAGGCGATTGGATACACGTGGGAGATGGATGAAGAAGATTGGTTGGCCGAATGACATCAATCTGCATTCACCTTCCCCTTTGAGAGATGGACATCTGCCATGCATGGTGTCGGTTGAAGCCATGTTTAAGCGAGAATCCTGCAATCAAATCTCCCACGGTATGACGGCAGATTCTCAACACCAGTTATGTTATGAGAAGTAGACATTACCAGTACCACCGTTGGCATCCACGAAGACGAAGACGAAGAAGAAGAAAAAGAAGAAAACGAATGTGTGCGGGTTCTTGTAGCTCGGGGAAAATGACGGCCCGGGATGGTCGTCTCCGCTTGGCTTTTCGGCAAAAGCTTCCCTTCCTAACGCTGCACTTTCCACGTCGATCATCCTGGGCCACGGAAGAAGCTCAGCTTCAATTCACCAGTCAGGCAGACATCCCGCACTCTGCAATTATTTCATCTATACCTAATTCCGTCATATCCATCGCAGTTGTCCATGTTGCTACCAAATGGTCAACGGTTTCCGCGATCCTCGGGCTTGCCCGTCCTCTGAAGACCTCAAAAGACGACACAGGAAACGGACGGATCCACTGACGAATTTGCAGGAGTGAAGGAGCAAGCTGTGCCAAGAGTATACGGGGACGTTTGCTTCAAGACGATGGCCTACGAGCGAGGAAGAGCTTAGCATTTGCGCTCATGCAAGTTCAGAAGATTTGGCGCAGATGGGTTCAGACGCTCGCATACGAGGATAGGTCATGCGCAAGGCTACTGCGGACGAGACTGAATCCTCTGATATCAAGATCATTTGGGGCAAGAAGCCAACGCCAGAGATGGACCTAACGTTCAAATAAATCGGTACTCTAGACCTAAAGGTGGTGCCCAGTCTTGGCTACAGCACGCTGATACGTCTCTGCAGCCTCTACGTTCCTCAGCCATGCCTCAATATCCTCCCATTTCCTATCCTGCGGCGCCAATTTCAACCAGAAGATGAACTGAATGGAGAAGGCTACCATGGTGTCCGCAGCAGTGACGTGGTCGCCCACCAAATACCCTCCATTGCCCCCCTTCAGCTCGGCTTCTAGCCAGTCAAGGTCTTTAGCTACGTTCCCTGCTAGACCTGGCCCAAGTTTCTCAGCGGCAGAGGCGTCAATCCGTCGGACATACACCGTTGGGAGGCAGTGGACCATGAAGGCACCTTCCGCTGCGTGGATCCATTCGCGCACTTTGACACGTTGGGCTTGGTCTGTAGGGAGGAGGCGGTGGGACTTGTCGTAATGCTCGCAGAGATACCTGGCAGGCACGGTCAAATGGTGCAATACTCAGAACGGGCGGAAATAAAGGCAGGGGATGGAAAAACATACTCGGTGATGGCTCCACTCTCCTGAATCGTGAGATTTCCATCCTTGAGGACAGGCGCCTTCCCCAATACCGTCCCGCAGGATTGTTTAAATCCTGCAGGAGCTAGACCCGTATCCTCGCGATCATAACTTTCGAGCTTGTAGTCAAGGCCTAGCTCCTCCAGTAGCCAGGCAATCCTGATGGATCGGGATGCTTGTAGGAAATAGAGTGTGATGTCTGGCATTTTGAGACCCAATGATGATTGATTGTAATCACCATAACTTCCTGACTGTCTTATTGAATTTTGACTCGGCTTTTCTATGAGGTCATCCATGCGCGCCAAAGTCTAGATTCCACTCATCCGTGTTCCTGGTCCTCCACGGCTCAGCCTCTGAGGTTCCAAGAAATCCGTCTTCTCTTTACGATCGATCCGCAAGAGACTCGGATTCACAGCTGTGTAAGTATTATAGAGATGGCTGATTTACCCTCCAGAAGCAGGCGACCTCACTCAGTCTTGCTTCGATCGCAAATCTATGATCCTTCTTGGTTGCTAAAATCCCCAATAGGCAAGAAGATTGTCCTTGCACCTCTTTGATCAAGTATACTATTTACACGTTCCTTCATTTTCGCCTAATTCTCGAGACTTGATTTTACAAACGAAGCGCACAATAGCACTAACAGCCAATGGCGACCGGGATTCCGAGCAAGGACGCATATCAACTCGTCGTCGTCATGCGTCTACTACCCCTACCGCCGATATCATGCCACCATCCCTTGCACATATGGAATCATCAGTAACGCTGCAGGGATCAGAACACGAAGATGACGGAGAAGACGAGACCGAAGGCTCGAAGCGAGAGGAATCCACTCCAGCTGGCCCTGTCTCCCAAGAAGACGGACGTACCCCCGAAGCATTAAAGGAAGCAGACTCGTGGGGTTTCGTCGTCTACCGCACGGTCTACGGCAACGACGACGAATGACAGACTTTCAAGCAAAAGCTTTCGAGACACGTCGAGCGCGGACGTGATGCTATTGTTGATGCACGTGGAGATCCGGATGGCGTGATTTTCGACTTCATCGAAGACGAACCCGAGCTCGATGGCGCTACTGCTGAGCAAGTTCGACTGTGAGTATTTGCGTTGCAGATATCGGTCTGAAGCCGTCGTCTGCGGTATAAAACAGACTGACGGAACATCCAACAGGAGGCACGACCCTTCCTACGTCTCTCCGGCCGTCGATCCGGAAGCGGCAGAGGATCAAGTCGTCCCTTCGGAGCGCGATGATGGTTTATGCGGCGCTGTTTTTCTCATGATCGATAGGGACGCAATGGAATCGGTCATTCGTCACCCAGCGAGAGGTAACCCCTACGTTGTTGCTGTGGATGCGATCAATAATCATTACGAGGAAGGTGTGTTTGAGGGCACAATGAAGATCCATGCGGATGATTTTCTGACAGAATTATCTGCGGAGTATCAAGGACAATGTGCTGGGTGATGGGTGAGGTGCCGGGGTCAACTAAGATGGACGATGTGTGGAGTGGAAGGTTTTGAAGGAGAATGTGGATATGGGAGTGTCTTTGATTGACGTTTCTATTTTCGACACTCCCGCCAACTGCCGTGATTATCCCCCCCTCTTAGACGCATCTCTCGCAGTGAGGCCCGCTTCTACGACGTGGTCTCAGGTCAGTGCACAAGGACCCACCCCGGCGGGAAACTCTACTCATGAATTTCGGCTTCCCCGCAGAACTACGGTATTGGATTATACACTTTGCGCTTGCATGCGTGAAGTCTTACCCGCGCCCTTGCATCGGCCAGAGATAATGTAGATACGGCCCGCCTTTAGAACAACCGCCCAGCAGCGCGAGTTGCCTGCTTGCGTTGGCAGTTGGAACGCTGCAGCGTTGGAAATCGCATGCTGCCTGTATAGCGACGATTGTTCCAATTCCACGGCGTGGGGATGTCTGTTGCGCGGTAGAGAAGGAAAAATGATTTTGCCAGGATTCAAAGGCGCCATGCGCCTGGCAATGCGTTTCACGTCATCTCGTTGCGATGGATCTTCGGGAATGGTATGAAGAAGGATGGGATGCAGGCTCTGCTTAGGCACTTCATGGCCTCGAGTCCTTTTAAAATTTCAAAGCAAGCAAGCAAGCAAGCAAGCAAGCTCGGAGTCCGGTTGGCAGAGCCAGAAAATGTTTTGTTCTACGATTCTTCTATCATTGATCCCATACCACCTCATCGTCTCCGCGCTCACTCTTCCTCCCCTTCCCGTCTCAAACCCGACCGTCAATGTGACACGACTAGCCAACGTGGACCCCAACCCCGAAGCCCACTGCGCCCAAGCTGCACCGACCACGCCTCCTCTGCCATTGTCCCCAGACTGCGTCAGGGCCATCCGCTCGCTCCCGCAAAGCCCCTACATCGGCACATTCCACATCGGCACCGATGAAAGTTTTTGGCGGCTGCCGCACAGCGAAAGCTATGGTACTTGCACCGTCTTTGTGCTCTTGAACGAGGACTTCGATCTCGAGATTGGGTCTTGGGTCGATATCCGTAATGCGGCCGTTAAGGTGCTGCTCGTGTGCCGGTTGCCGTTTGAGGAGGGGGGCGATCAGAGGACTGGGGGGTGGATTACGTCGGGGGCTGAGAATGGGCTTGTGGTGGAATTGGGGACGAGGAGAGTGGGATTTGGAGGCGGGAATGGGACGGGGGTGGGGGTAGAGCGAGGTATGAATGCGGTCGATGTTGTGTGAGAGCGTGGATGGCTTCGAATCTCTTGAACATCGGCTCAGTTGCGCGCTTGCGATTCAGGACGTGTCTGAAATCGGATGGATGCGAGTGCACGATGGGTTTTCGGAAGAGCCTGTAGTGGGCTTTCAGCTTGGTCGGGTCGGAGACAGGCAGTATTTCTGGCCGCTCGAACATGCGTGGGCCACTGCTGGCAGACCAATGACACGGAGACACCAATCTTTCCGGATGGCATCGCGCTCGTTCTATCAAGGAGGCCAAGGAAGGAGATTCCGATCTAGGGAGGCTTTTGGGTTCTTCCTTGATAGCTCTTCGGAGTTGGGCGGAGAGAGGTAAAGGGAAAGGGTGATGTTTGTGGAATATGGAGGGTGCTCAACGCTGTGGCCAACGATGCATCAGGATCGAGATGTGATTTGGGAAAAGAACCTTGATTGATCTACGGTAGGTGGTGGTTTCGTCGAGTTAGGGGACTCAGCTGATGGGGATGGTTAGCAGTAGTGGAGAAGAAGATAGAATAACTTCAACGACTGAAGAGTTAACTGAGGCTTATTGAGATGTGATGACCCATATCTTTGGTTCGTTAAGAAGTGTGAGCTAATAATGTTCAAAGTAACTATAAGCCTTCCATTTGAAACCATTAATGCAGGAAATAGTGTCTTCCCCAGCTTTGTTGCTTTACTAGTGCATACGAATCAATATGCTGACCTTACTAGATAGCTGACAATATATTTTGTGAGTGGAAGGAATGACTTTGAAAGAGCAAAGCGGAAGAGAACCGAGCACCCCGCTTGCGGAGAAACCCCGGGCCGCGATGTCATTTCCGAAGGTTCATATGTTGTAGATCCCTGCTTGGGATGTGTTGGCAATATGATAGGCTATGCCCAATACAATTAGGGCTAGGGCTATATATGAATGCTATATAAATAGATCGCATATATAGATAGATAGAATATAAGAAAAGAACTTTATATAAGTAGATATAGGTCTAATATAAATATAAAAAGTCGCTTATTAAATTATTAGAGATTTATTTCTTCGAGTTATTCGATTTCGACTTATAGTCTATAATAAATCGAATTACTTCGAAGATTATATCTTAGTCTTTTAAATATATTAGTTTTATATATACGCTAAGTAAACTAATTATCTTAATATATTATAATTATAATTATAATTATATAGCTATTATTAATAACTATATTATTTATAATTATATTTATTTATAACTATTTAATTATAATTCTTAATTATATTATAATTAATAATTATATATCGTAGCTAATAACTATAAGTTATTAAGATTAATATTTTCTCTTTATTTAATTATTAAAAAGATAGAGATAAATAATAATAAAATAAATAAATAATATTACTTTTTAAAAAAAAAAATATAGAGAAAATAGAGAAAGTAGAGAAATAATATAAACTTTTAATATAACTTCTTAATTTACTCTTCTAGAATATATAATAATTCTTATATATAATATAATTATTTCGAGAAAATATATTTAAATCTTATATATAATCGAACTTTCTTAATAGTAATCTTTTAATTAATCGAATAATTATATATCTCTAATAGTTCTCTATACTATTTAAATAGCTTTTTATTAAATAATTTAATAAGAATATCTACTACTATTTAGATTATAAATATATAATTTATTATAATTATCTTATTTTTAATTAATTAATTAATTAATTAATATAATAATATTAAATACTAATATATTTAGTTCTTTAATAATACTCGAGATTCTTTATAAAGTTAATAGTTCTCTTATTATTATCGAGTAATATTATAAAGCCTTTATCTAATACTCGAAAATAGATTTCTTATAATTATCGTATAGTTTATATAATAGTCTTATCTTCTTCTATTAAGATTATATACTTAACTTCTATTATAGATATAATTATTTCTTACTATTTTTAACTATATTATATATATATTACTTTTTTATATAATAAACTAAATTTATAAATAAATTTATAATTCTTCTAATTATTATTATATATTAAATCTATAATTTTTTTTAATATTTCTATCTTTTAATAATATAATTCTAGAGATATAATATCTTATATATACTTAAGTATTTAATTTACGATATTTATATAATAAATAATAAAATTATAATTAAATTAACTAAGCTTTTCTATAATAAAAACTAAATTAATTTATATATTAATTATTAAGAATATAAAAATTTCTATTTACTTTTAATATTATAGTTAATTTATATATTCTTTCTCTAATTAATTTATATTTATTAATAGAGATATAAATAAAAGTCGCTTAGTATATTAAATACTCTTTAAATATCTTTTTAATATATTATATTTATTTAATAATTAAGATATAGAATTTCTAATTATAATAAATTTAAATATTAAGAATATAATTAATTAAGCCTATTTCGATAGTCTTAAATTCTTTATAAATTTAATACTTAATATAGTCTATAATACTTTATAATTTAATTTTAATAAGAATATTATTTATATAAAGTATTATAATAATTATTTTCTTTAGTAATACTTAAATAAAAATATAGCTATTAGCTATAGTAGCTATAAATTTTATTTCCTTAATAATATATTTAAATTTCTTATTCTAAATATAAACTAATTATTTAAGATTATATAATTCTTTCTAGAGAAGTAATATCTTATTTTTAATATTAATTATTAATAAATAGTCTAATAATAAAATTATATAGATTTTCTTATAGAGATCGCTATTAAAATAAGTATTATTAATATTTATTTATTTTATTAGAAGATTTATTATTATTATATATAATAGAAATAGATATAAGAAGTTAAATTATAGAGTGAGAATAAAGATCTTATAAAAGTCGATATTTTTTATTTATATAAACTCTCTAATAATAAATTTAATTTTAAATTTATTAATAGTTTTATCGCTATTATATTTAATTTTAAAAACTTATTTATATATAATTAAGCGTCTATTAATCGATAGAATAGCGAGTTTTTAAATTCCTTTAATAATTAAAGTAATAATTTTCTTAATAATAATTTACTTTTATTTACGAGCGTTTAATTTATAAATAGCTTTCTAATAAATAAAAAATTTAATTATAATATTTATAAGCTTAGTCTTATTCTTTATATTAAAGTTATTATAGAATTTATAAAAATTATAGTTTAGCTTTTTAATGCGAGACTATTATATAAAGATAGTAATTTAAAATATAAAATATTATTTAATATAATTAGAAGAATTAGAGATAAATATAGATATAATAGATTATTAAATATTAATCTTAGATATTATTCTTTAATTTATTATTTTCTTATTATTTAAGATATTAAGAGTTTCTTTAACTTCGCGAAGGTCTAGCGAAGATTTTAATTTAATTTAATATACGTTTAAATTACTTAATTCCGAATCTTTATTATTATTTATATTTTCTAGAAAGTTAGTAGAAACTTCTCTCTCTATTTAAAAATCTTATATATCTTTAATTTCTTTAATTTATAATAACGATATAACATTCGATATAGATCTTCTATAATTCTTTTTATTATTATTATTATTAGATATAATCTTAATACTACTCTAAATAAAGATATTATTAAAATTATTATTATTTTAATAAATAAAAGTAATATTTACTCGTATAAAATTATAGGCTATTAAAAATAAAGTTAGAGTTATTAGTTAAACTTCCTTATAATTCTTATAAAAATAAATATTTATAAATTATTTAAATCGATTAT